ATTTTCATATTGTAATCATGCCAAACATCACTACGAATCTATATAAATTATTTTTTCAATAAAATGAATGAATGAATGAAATAAATAAATAAATAAATAAATAAATAAATAAATAAATAAATAATAAAAATGGATATCAATGAAAATATTTTATAGAAATAATCTATTACCAAAATTTTTGTAATATGGAAAACACTTAATAGTAAAAATTCAACCCTTTTTCAAAGTGATAATTTTTGAGCAATTGGCTTAGGCTTAGGAATATGGAAACAGAAAATACAATCATTTGAATGTAAAATTTTTAATCATCAAATAAAACACTTTGCCACTTATAATTCAATAATAAAATAAAAGATACAATAAATTTATAAAATTTACTTTTCAAAAAGATAATTTTACATCTCTCTTGAAAATTTGTGATAATTCGTTATTTAATAATTCATCCAAGGTTGAATTTTCATGATGATAAATCCACTTTTCATCTTTGAAATCATAATCATAACGTTTTGGCCCACTGAATTTTCCAATTGCACAAAGATACTAATTTAGAATATGAAAAAATTTTTATAGAAAAAAATTGATATTTATTTTAAATCTAAACCAACCTAACTGGTGATGACAACCAGATTTGTTTATTAGGAGGTTGTTTATTTATAACATATGTGCCTGTTGAGCCGCACTTTAATGTTAACACACCGCTCTGAATAGAATAGAAGAGAATAGAATTGGATTGAAATTGAATTGGATTGGATTTAATCATTGAAAAAGCAATAATTTTAGACTTACAGAATATTCAACGTCATAATCATTGATATTTATTTCTTCTCCTAGACTTTCCAAATTTTCATATAATTTTTCCATGGTCTCTTCTGATAGTTGATGATATTCATCTTGAGACAGATTACTTTTCATTACAAATTGGGAGGGTTTAATTATTCTATTTTTATTATTTAGATTATTTGCATTAAAGAATATTCTTTTATAAATCAGTGGAAATTTTCCTATATTCATCATGATAAATAATCAAATTGCTGCGCCAGATATCCAATTTCCAATTAAAAATTAAATAATTGATTTTTAATAAATAAAAAAAAAATACATTAAAAATGTAAAATATAATTAGAAAATATATATCTATTATACTTCAAGAGTTTTTTAACTTATTGAATAATCGTTATCGGAAACTATTAATAATTTGCCATTATTTCCTGCTATCCATATTTGCATATCATTATTACTTAATTTAAGACAATTTGCAATTAATGGAACTGTGAATTCATGATGCAACTCTAGGCTTTAAATATTTATATATAAAATTATTTATCAACCGATCAATTGACTAAATATAAAAAAGATTTAGTTAAATAGGTTATTTTTTTAAAAAAAACCAACCTTAAAACATCATATATTCTAATAAAACTTTTTTCATCTTCTCCATCTTCTCCATCGGTTGTTGTAACTATTGAATTACTTTCAGTTGAAGAAATCATATGTTCTATTTTAACAGATAGTTGCATTGAATTTAAAAGCTTTCCATTAATACTGTAAGTATGAAGAAAATATTCATTCTAAAAAAAATATTTAAATTTAGTTAGTAGTATCATAAAATAAACAAAACAAATACACATATATATCAAACACTCACTTTATATTCTGTATATATGACTATGTTAGCATCTTTGGTTATGCATAAATATTCAACAGATGATTCGTCATCTTCAAATGGGCATAATGTTCGTATGTAATTTGCATTCCTTAATGAATG